TCGGCGCTGAAGGCTTCATCGCAGCACCTCTTCTCCATCTGGGCGGTTGGCGCTGGCCTCTGGGAGGCCATTTCAGGGTTGCGCTACTAACTGGGCGTAGGGTAGAGAGCGGAGTGTGGAGTTCTGAGAGTGGCGAGATACTGGAACAAATTCTGTAACGATATTTGGTTTGAGTTGGCTCATCATCAATGTAAATCCTATTGTTATCCTCACAAGCGTCTTCTTGTGATTGGTTGTTGGGAGTATTGTCAGAGAGTGAGAAATACTGTGTGTCTCTCCCCATCTGTGCATGGTTGTGGCCTACTTTGATCTGTGTGCAGTTTGGACTGTCTCCTCTCCCCTTCGTCTTATGCATGTATGGGCGTGTATGAGATTGTCTGTGTGCGAGCCGCGGTGAAAATCGTCAAACAACCAAGTTCATAACACTTGGTATCGGAGCTTGGTAGGATTAGGGACACTGAGGGTTGAGCGCAACAGGGGCATCTTCTTCTTCTGAAGATCTTCTGAAGGGAGTTCCGTGGCGGTTCATCTTCTTCAGGGTTGAAGCAGTGGAGAAGAAGATTTGCAGACGGAAATTCAAGTGCACAGTGTCTGGACTGACCAAGCGCACTGTCCCTGCCAGAGCGCTTGTCAGAAGTGGCGAGTACAGGGCTACTTCGCCAAAGTCAACCCTGAGTGCAGATGAGCGATTTGCCTCAGAGTGTTGAATTACCCCTGAACACTGAGGATAACTGGTTGACGATATCATCCCTGAGGAGCGCTGAGCTGGATTGACTGTTGGAGTCAACCCCATGCAGAGTTGACCCTAATTGGGGCTAATTATAGCATCAGCAGGTAACTGGGTCAGTGGCGAGACATTTCCTGTTGACTATTAGATCGCCACTGGACTAGATTCAGTGAATCTAGTAAGTGGGATTGAAGCGCCTCAGTACCCTGAGCCAGATCAACAAGTTTGAGGAGATTCTGTACGTGGAGACCAGAGGAGGAATTTCTGGAAGCAACTGGTGAGATGAGGGTTTCAGTCTGCCATAGTCAGATCTTCAACATCTTCCGAAGACCTCTGAAAGTGAGTACGTTCCACACAGATCTCTGTATAGCAAAGTATTTAGTGTCAGTATAGTCAGAATTGATGGTCTATCTGTCTGCCAGAGTCCAAAATTATTTTGTCAAACTACATGACAGCCATAGCCATCTTCTTCCTATCTTTACTTTCTCATATCTCCCCCTTTGCTGACTCTCTCTATCTCAAATCTGGTCTGGGACCGCATGACAGTATTGCGCTGAATCCTGTATGCTAAGAATGTGAATTTTGTACTGGAAAAAGTACTAATACTGTGGATTGAAATTTTGCGCTGAGTCTAATTATAACCTGGGCTATCTAGGGTTAGTCGCAACTACAATTCTGCCCGTCGGAATTCAGTTCTGCCAGTCTGTAGTGAATCACAATTTTGTTGTTGTCATCTGTACAAAAGCGCTTAACCAGATTATCAGTATTTGAGTAATTACAGTGAATACTGTAAATCGCCATACCTCTGGGTATGGCTGTCAGAGTCAACAGTGGCGAAATTTGAGTTTGTGGTAGGATTGAAGGTTACTAACTACATCGTTACATCTTGTTGGTCTGGGATTGTCTATACTTACCACTCTTTCTCTCTCCCACTGTATCCTCTTGTTTTCTAGTGGGCTCTGAAATGTTAGGATATCTTTGGGATTACTGGAACTGTCTGTACTAACTCCAGTTAAGGTGTCGGGCCAGTAAAAGGAAATCGTGTGACTGATTTTACTGGGTTGTCTGTCTGTCTGACCGCTGACCTCCAGAGACACTATTCCAACCCCAACCACCTGTTGCCCATTCACCCACCTACCTCTGTGAGAGGGATAGCAACGATTTCTGAGTGTCGGAAGGAAATTGTATATCGCTGCATGCTCCCCTGTTTGTCTACTAACTACTGTTAATCTGAAAGTGGAAAATGGCGAATCAGGGTGCTTAGCAGCAGCCCTGCAGGGAGAAGTAGAAGTGAAGATAGAAGTTCCACAGACTTTTGTCTCCCCCTCTACACCACCCGTGACTGCTACTCAGCAGAAGGAGTTACAGGATAGACTGCAGCAGGAGTAGGCGCTGCTTGCAGAACTTGAGAGACAGGAGGCAGCCAAGCTGGAGGCTGCAACAGATGTCTCACGTAGTGAGTATCTGTTGGAACAGTTGACCAAGGCCATGTCAGATGATTGCTGCATCCAGGTGACCAGGAACTTGGCGGAGCGGGCCGTTTTGGAACACAAAGCCACCAGTTCCTATTTCACCAACTAGGATGATCGCATGGGCCGTCTGGAGCGTAGAGTTGATGACCTGGCGGCTCAACAGTCAAAGCTACTGAATACGATTCAGGCTCTGACTGCTCAGCTGACAGCAGCCAAGCTGATTGTTCCTCAGTCCCCTGCACTCAAAGTAAAACCTTCTCCTTCTCCTTCCCCATCTCCCTCTGGTTCACGCCATTCTTCCCCTTCACCACCACCCTACCACAAAGCCACAGCCCGCCCAACGCTTGAATCTGCCCCTGCAGGTGATCAAAGGGGACCTAAGATTCCAACCCCCAACAAGTTCAAAGCGGATGACCCGAAGGTCAATGTCGGGGACTGGGCTGCAGGTACCAAAGCCTACTTGAGAGGCTTCACATGTGCAAAGCAGACCAAGGTTGCAACGGTGCTGGGACTGCTGGAGGGACCCGCTCTGAAGTGGGCCACCTCAACCTCCAGCAGTCTGGAGCAACGTCTAGAGGACTGGGCTTTTCGGTTGGGGGTGGACAGACTTCTGCAGGCCCTAGAGGACCACTTTGCAGACAAGGAGCRGGCCCGCAAAGCTGCTGACAGGATTGCTCGCCTGGGGCAGCAACGCTACAACGGGACACTGCAGTCCTTGTTTGCAGAGTTCGAGCAATTGACCTCTAGGTCCTCTACCCCTGGATTGGTCATGTCAGCAGATGATTTGTTGACCAACTTTTGCAGGGCTGTGCCTAAGAAGTTTGCAGTTGCTTTGTATAGTGTTGGGCACAAGGATTGGAGATCCTTTGGCTGTGCAACCCTGGACATGGAGGCAAAACTTCATGTTCAGGCCCCTTCTTCTGACAGAAGAAAAGGAGCCTTCCCTCGTGGTGGCATTAAGGGAAAGGTTGCCTTCACTCATGTAGGATCTGGATCAGCCAGTGATTCAAACTCCCAGGTTGATGTACCATCAGTTGGGACTGAGTCAGCTGCTGATACAGATGTTGCAGCGGCCTTGACTCAGGCTGTTTTGGGAGTTCTGCAGTAGCAGAAAAGGTTTTCTCCCACCACAACCTCATCCAGTACCAAGGGGAAGGACAAGGGATGTCGTCCTTCTACCCCTGCCCGGCGCCCTAACCTGCCAAAGGACTTCCGTATGCCAGCTGACCCACTCAATCCCTCCACTCTCCCCTGGCATGATCTCAAGATCCAAGAAGCGGTCTGCCTGCGATGTGAGGGTCAACACTTCTTGAAAGACTGCCCTTACATGCCAGGCCCTGGTCAGTGAAAAAACTAAAGCAGACCCTGGGGACTGCAGTTCCCTCCAGTGCTGCACCTCAAGATGAATCTGCAGCTGCTTCAGTTGAGACACCACAGATTGTGGAAACTGCACGGGCAGCATCCTTTTTCTATGAGGATCCTGACCCGGATCAGGAACCGGAGGAGCATGAACTGCAGAC